GTATTACAAGTGCATGTAAAATGTATTATAGGTGCAAGTAAAAATTTACACTGAGCATCAATACTTAGTTGCACTTATAGTTCTAAGTTGTTGCACCAATAATTCTAAGTAGTTGCACACATAGGTATAAGTAGTTGCATCTAGGTGTATGAATGTTTGCGAGTGGTTTTCAGGAGTATTTCTACCCGCTGAACTCAGATCAATGAATGTTAACAAGACAAAATTACATGCACTTATAGGTGAAAGTAGGTGCACATATAGTTATAAGTAGTTGCACCTATAGTTATAAATAGTTTCACATATAGTTATAAGCACACCCAGGTGCATGAATGGTTGCGGAAAGTGAATGCTAACAAGGCAAAATTACATGCATTTATAGGTGAAAATAGGTGCACTTATAAGAGATTTTACGTGCACTTCGATGTTCAATTATTTACGAAAATGCCACCGCATTTTTTTTTTAAGTTATTAGATCTGGACACGTGTCACGCGCTGATTCGTTCACATTTTCTTCCGGGGGCACTTATTCGCACCTGAGTGCGTCCCTATATATATATATATATATATATATATATATATATATATATATATATATATAATTCAGCATAAAAGATATTTATACCATTTGAATACTTATTCAATTCCTTAGTTAACGTAACCAAACAATTGAATAGAATTTATATTCTATTCCCTTCCATATAGAATAACATTTCAATTAATTCAAAATTCATTCCGTGAAAGAAATATGCTGTAAAAGCAATGTTTACACACAGTACAAGAGTCGCTAATATTTATGAATACTTGAGAACTTTTTAATATTTTAGTAACAAAGGGAGTTAGGATTTAAATAAATGTATTGTTACAGGGAGTAACAATTAGCTCAAATGGATGGAGTGATGCAGGGCATTCCGTTAATCACATATACGATATGCTTTACATGATGGGTCGTGATGATATTCTTGTTGGTGTGGGAGGAGAGGGTGGAATACTTGATGATGGTACAATTTTAGCAAATGTAGGTGGATATCTCCCTATACTTGAACAGGTAATCCGCCTTTCTAAATAGTCACTTGAATATATATTAGCACTTTTAATTTTATTTGCAAGGACTTTAATTAATCTTTTGTTTGTTTTCCTAGTTTTGGTGTTTGATTGGAAGATAGTTTATTTGTAGTCCAAAGTGTCTAAAATGCATAGTTGGTAAAAATTTTAGTCAAGTGATCGACATTTTGAAGTAAAAGTGGAATGTTAACGTACAATTGATGGATCAGGGAGTTGGTACGATTGGATATTGTAGATATCGACAAGCTGTTCCTGTAGGCATTGGGGGACGTTTAGATGTTGACACAAATTTTGGGTTGAGAAAGGGCTTTCTTCCTCAGGTACGTACCAAATTTAGTATCGAAGTTTTGTTATCTTATAGACTGTCCCGAGTTATATGGTGTTGGGCTTGTCCCTTACTGACCTTTGTCCAACACATATATAGAGTAGAGGAGGTGATGGAACTTAAAAAGTGCAGGGAAAGAGAAGATATCGGCCCCTTGGGCAGCCCACAGCTCAGCAAGTATTGGTTGATACTATTTCTGGTGGCCCAACCAGTGTATTGATGACTGGAGCTCATACAAACTTGGCTATATTTCTTATGAGGAATCCTCATCTGAAACAAAATGTAGAGCACATATATGTGATGGGTGGCAGTGTGAGAGCCGAGTTCCCAACTGGCTGCGGCAGATCTTGTGAATGTGCTAACAACGTTGGCAATCTCTTCACTGATTTCACTACTAATCCTTATGCAGAGTACAATGTTTTTATGGATCCTTTTGCTGCATACCAGGTGATGATACATACATGCATCTCGGATCGCATTCCATCACGTCTTAAATTATATCTAATTCATAAATATATTATTATTATGTGGTCTTACAGGTTATTCATTCAGGAATTCCAATTACTCTTGTTCCATTGGATGCCACAAACACCATTCCCATAACTGCACAGTTTTTTGATACCTTTGAGCGTAATCAGCATACATATGAGTCACAGTACATTTTCAAGTCCTTGAAAATGGCTCATGATACTAGCACCTATACCAATGATCATCAATTCTACAAAGTAAGTCTCTCTAACTTATATCTTTAATTGATTGCTTTGTAATGCAATAATGAATAATGATATGCAATGCCTGCAGAAGTACTTCATGTGGGACTTATTCATGTGTGGTGTGGCTGCTTCAATAATGAGTAAGCAGGCAGAAAATGGCAAAGGTGAAAATGAGTTTGCAGAAATGAAGTACATGAATATCACCGTAATTACCTCGAACCAACCCTATGGTGTGTCTCATGGATCAAATCCATTGTTTGATGGCTGCAAGACTCCAAAGTTTGAGTTGAAAAGAGATGGAGTCCATAGTGGGTATATTCAGACTGGTATTCGTGATGCATCTTGCCTTGTCAAAACTCGCACTGGAAAATGCAGAGTATGTATATAATTTTATTTATGCTACATCAATCAACTCATACATTCTGAATAATATTATTAATTAATTAATGAATCAGGATGGGTATACACCAGTGGTAGAGGGTCAAGAAGGTGTGCCAGTTCTTGTTGCAGTCAGAGCAAAAGCCAACCGTGATTTTCATAGCCCGTTAGACAGAGAATTCTTTATCAACTTCTTGGATGTAATAAACCGCCCAGAACAAACTGGCAGGTTCAATTTCACAACAGAATATCCTAACTATAAACAAGTAGTTTACAAACCAGATCTTAGGGGAAAACAACAAGTTGGGAAAAATGTTGTGTTTGACATGGACATGAGTGCAGGAGACTTCCTAGCTCTCTTTTATCTTCTTAAACTTCCTGTGGAGGTTATCAATCTCAAGGTGCATTTCATAGATTTGCCTTTAACTATATATTCTTTTATTTTGTGATAATATAATGTTCATATATATATATATATATATATATATATATATATATATATATATATATATATATATATATATATTCCCTGCATGCAGGCAATTCTGGTGAGCCCAACTGGGTGGGCAAATGCCGCAACAATTGATGTAATCTATGATGTGTTACACATGATGGGTCGTGATGACATCCCGGTGGGCCTTGGAGATGTATTTCCAGTGAACATTACAGATCCAGTTATGCCTGGTGTTGTTGGAGACTGCAAGTACCAAAAGGTTATCCCACATGGTAATGGTGGATTTATTGACTCAGATACTCTATACGGTTTAGCTCGTGATTTGCCTCGTAGCCCTCGAAGGTAAACTAATTAAGCTAAGCTTCTTTAATTTTCCTGCCTGCAAAACCCTACGTCACTCAGATCAATCATTCTTAATTTCCTCTTTGCTAATTAATCTCATTTAATTTGCAGATATACAGCAGAAAATTGTGTGAAATTTGGAGCTCCACGCGATACTCATCATCCTGAACTCCGACAACCTCTTGCATTACAAGTGTGGGAGTCTGTGGTGAAATCCCTTCATCCCAAATCCAAGATTACCATTTTGGCAAATGGTCCACTCACTAACATTGCAAAGATTGTTGGTGGTGGTGAGAGTATGTGGTCTGCTATCCAGGCAAGTAGTAGTTATATATATATGATTCATTCAAGTGTATATTTAATTTGCAGGATGTTGGGCGGAGTCCAGTAAGGGCCAAGTTCAACATAATGTGACTAGGGAAATTGTTGGGCATAAGCTGGTAAAGGGACAAGTCCAACCATAGTTCTTGAAAATGTGTTGCGATATAAGGAAGTAAAGTTACTCCTTCACTACTAGCTATATCTTTTGGCCTAAGTAGAGTGTTGGGTGGAGGCCGGTAAATGCCAAGTCCAGCATAATGTGACTAGGGGATTGTTGAGCGGAAGCCTATAAGCGCTTGATCCTAATACATGATGGTTTTCTAGTTCTACTAATTTTTTTTTGAGTAAATACCTAAAATGGTCCCTCGACTATACCTAAATTCACAAATTGGTCCTCGACTTTCAATTTCAACCAATTAAGTCCTTAACTTTGCAATTCTAACACAATTTGGTCCTCTGTCTATTTGACTGTTTGTTGACCGTGATCGACGATCTCCAGAAGAACCTTCAGCTCTCGTCGGAGCACGTAGAGGCCTCCAGGATGAGTTGCATCGGTTCAGAAACACGTCGCCTTCTTCGCTCTGGTATGAACTCAACTACATTGAATCCAAAGGGAGGATGAAAAAAGGCGACCGGATGATATAGACAGTGGATTCAAATGTAACAGTGCGGTCTGAAAATGCAATCGGAACCTTAAAAACCCGACGATGGACCATGAAATTACATATATATCCTCAAAAATCACAGTCAACAAACAGTCAAATAGACTGAGGACCAAATTGTGTTAAAATTACAAAGTTAAGGACTTAATTGGTTAAAATTGAAAGTCGAGAATCAATTTGTAATTTAGCTATAGTCGAGGGACCATTTTGGTTATTTACTCTTTTTTTTTTTTTTTTTTAAATAAAAATGAGATTCGATTGTTCATTTGAGTTGTACTGTGGTGCAGGAAGTAGTAGTTGTTGGGGGGCACATCAAGACCAGTAGTAATGACAGCTCGAACGAAGGAAATGTGATCAATCTTCTGCCTTCAAATAAATTTGCAGAACTCAATATGTTTCTTGATCCTTTGGCGGCAAAAACAGTTTTCGCATCAAAACTCAATATCACTCTCATTCCACTTGCCACACAACGCAAAGTGAGTTCATTCCTCCAAATCTTATCTGCACTCAATCCGAAGGAAACTCCTGAAGCAGTGTTTGCTAAACGTCTGCTGTCAACACTACATCACCTGCAAATCAAGTCTCATAGATTTCAACACACGGTATGTAACTTCAATTCTACATACCAACTGAACGATGATAGATATATAGAGTGTTAAGATAAGCACTTACCACTACACCAAAAGCTATAGTTAGTAGCGAATGCGCAACTTTATTTCCTTATAGACCGCCATCATATTTTGAAGAGTCTGGGTGCTCAACTTGACCTTTTAAGTCTTTTATCGGCTTCCGCCCAACAATCCCCCTCCACCGGGGACTAGACTTGAGGTTTACTGGCTTCCACCCAACATAGAGAGAGAGAGAGAGAGAGAGAGAAAGTTGAGTTACATACTCATCATTGATTATTTGTATCTATGTTGCATGCAGGGAACATTTGTTGGGGAAATCTTAGGATCATTACTTGTAGCAGGTGATGTTTCTGCCTTGAAACCAACATTTGGCATCAAGAAAATTAAAGTATGTGCAACAGGGGTAGAATCTGATGATGGGCAAATGGTTATTATTGATGAAAAGCAAGGCAAAAGAGTGAAGGTGTTGGAAAATGTGGATGCATCGGCTTACTATCATCTCTACGCAAATATACTGGGTGATGGCAAACAGTCTGCTGTAGTTGGAAGTTTTTTAGAGCAGACAAGAAGATGGAGTACACCATTGAATACAAGTTTAAGTACACTGTAAGGTTTGTTACGTTATACATGAAAGAGTAATACTACAAAAAACAAAATGACAAAACTTCAATTTTGACCTCATTATATATTCTCAAAATATATATGACTTAACTTATCTAATTTTTTGTAGCATAATCAATTTTAATCCTTCCCGCAGTTTTTGAATTAAGTTTATTAACTTCATGTGCATCGTTTTAAATTTATTACTTTAAAGTATATTGTAAAATTAGCTAAAAATGGTACATAGAGTGGTCAAATAAAGTTTTTAGTGAGGTTTACTTCTTATTCAGATTAGATCAAAGTAGATTTAAGTTTTCCTGAGTTAGAGATTTAATTCAATATATTATAACATTCATAACAGATTAGGGGTGGATGAGAAATTTATTTTCAGAATGTACCCTTTTAAGGCTTTTAAGTAGCCTTTGTCCCATATTGAAAAATGGGTATAGGTTTGCACTAGTATATATACAATCCTACTTTTTAAGGAGTATGAATTGTATAGCATGTAAACTCTGTCGCATGTAGAAGGGGGAGGGGGGAGAGTTGCAAATCAAATCCCAAAAAGCTTAACTCATGATTATTAACCTTTTAAATAAGGCACCTCGTAAGAAAGAGTGGAGTGTCTTGCAAAAGTAGCGGTGTCAACTCTCAAGCAAATAAAAATATGTGTCAACAGTAGTGTTTATCGGTTCTTAATGTACAAGTATCATAATTCAGATATACATAAGAACACGATTATATATTGAATTGAGAAATGCATCGTTCTTTCAATATGTATTTTCATATAGGTCAAATGAGAGACCTACTACGTCAAAATGTATATTTGACGTGGCTATAGATAATGAGAGTACATGGGTCTTAAAATGAACCCCATGCTCGAACCTAAACGTAGCAAATGAGTTAGGATTGAAAATTCCTTTTGTCCATATTTTCTTATATATTTGTTAGAGTGTGAGTCTAATACTCTAACTTATTTATTAGAAAATGAATTGGGTTTTCTGCCATGTTTGTTAGTAAATGAACTAGATTTTCTAACATATTTGTTAGAAAATAGTCTCGAACGTACGTAAAATCTTCACTTATAGTAAATAACAAATGTAGAAAGAGGTTATTAAAAGTAAGTTGATTCTATTTTACAAAATTATACTTGAGAACTGATAAATCTTCCTTCAAGTTATACACACCCTTATGATCCAAGTAAGTTTTTATATGAAAGATGAAAACCTGATTGTTCCATTGAGAAGTATAAGGCCAGATTTGTGATTAAATGTTATATGCAATGTGGGGGCTACAATTACTTTAACACTTATTCTCTCGTAAGTCGTAACGAGAATAAACTCTATTAGAATGATATTTGTCACCGCTGTGTTGCGAAACTTTGAAGTTCATCAAATGAATGTGAAAAAAACTTTCTTCAATGGCAAGTTAGATGAAGAAATCTATATATAACAACCTGAGGGCTTTATAGTTCTAGACCAAGAAAGGAAGGTTTGCATATTGGTCAAATCATTGTACGATTTAAAACAAGCGCCTAAGCAACGACAAGAGAAGGTTGGCTATGCAATGATGACCAAATGAGTTTGAGATAAACGAGAGTGATAAGTGTGCATACGTAAATGATACAATAGACATTTATGTCATTCTATGTTTATATGTGGATGATATGCTCATTGTGGTAATGATCAAATAATGATCAAATCTATCAAAAACATGTTAAATTTGATATTTGAAATAAAGGATACGAATTTGGCAAATTTAACCCTTGAGATTAAAATTTAAAACTGTCAGAAGTTAGGATGGTCTTGCGTAAAGCAAATCTTATTATATAGATAAAATATTTAGTAAATTTAACAAGGATGATAATCAATTAGGAAAGACGTCGTTAGATACTAACATACATATATCCAAATATTGATGAGCGTGCATTTCTCAAGTAGAATATACTAGGATTATTTAAAGTACAAATAAGCCACTGAACTATTTGGGAAAGAGCAATTAAGCCATCGAACTCAAATAATCCTCAAATAAGCCACTGAATTCAGGAAAAAAAAAAAAGAGCAACTGACATTTTTAACAGGTTACCTTCTCACTTTTGCTGACTGGGTTGCCACATATTTATTTTATTTTATTTTTCATTATTATATTATAATCTACATGGATTAATTTTAAACAAAATTTCAAATTAAACATCCAACCCTAAATTATCTCTCCCTAATCGCGACTTCTGGTTTTCCTCTCCTAATTAAAGGTGTGCATAATCATCTTAGCTTGAATGGATGAAAACTTTTCATTTGTGACTGATATTGAAGCAGTATGTAAACACTTAAAATGAAGATTTTGGAAAATTTTGAGGCCGTAAGTAAACACTTAAAATGAAATTCATATTAAATTTCATAATCAAAGTGTACAAAAGAACTAATACATTACCAAGTACTAGTTAATTGCACAAAGAACAAATACATCAATATGTATTGTTAATTAAACAAAAACTTCTACATCAATATCAATTGTACTGCATTGATTGTGCTTTCAAAATAAAGTATTGTCATAACAGCCCAAGTTGTCAATCTTCAATGTGTTTCCAAAAGAAAGTTCTATCACAGCAAACCATGTTGTCAATCTTCAATGTTCTACATGTGGTGGTTGGTTTGATGGAGTGTTACCAGGCTACAAAAAAAAAAAAAAATACATATACATTAAAATGAGTTGCTTGGAATATTTAACAATAAATATTGTGTCCAAACTTATTGTTGAAGACGCAGCTCCACCGGAAGGAAACTTTAGTCTATTATGTCCTTCTTGTCTACAAATGCAACACCACATAACTCGACCCTTCCTACTTAGTCGAGTCTTATTACTACTAGTTGGTGGACCTTCATTTTCTTCACGATTTCTTTTCTTCTTTGGCCTACCTAACATTTTCTTGGGACCGAAGCCAATATTTCCTCAAAAGTAGTTTTAGGCCAAAAGAGTTCTCCATTCATAGGCTGAAGGGCATGTGCATAAGTCCTTAGATATGCTTCATTTGAGTAGCATGGGTCAAGGTAATCCTCATTGTTCCTCCCCTTGTCAAAAATGACACATATATATAGCATGAGTACAAGGTATACCACTCAAATCCCATGCTCTACAGGAACATGTCTTACTTTAAAGCTTGACTTTGAACTGATGTCGCCCTTTCTTAATCTCATATCCATCATCTCCATTAAAATGAACCTAACAAGACAAATTATCATTCCAATTTAAGATAACATCATTTAATTTCATATTATTGAATAAACATTAGAAATAACTAACCTTCCATCCAATGCTTTCCTTTTTATTTTCAGTCACTTTCTTCATTATAAATGGTCCATATCTACCTTTCCAAGTGTCAATAGATTTCATCTTTCTTGCAATCCTTCTCCTAGAACCTACTCGAATGTCTTCAAGCATGGGAATAATTGGCTTGCATCTTGCCTTCACCAATGTTCCATTGAATGCCTCACAAAGGTTGTTATCTATAATGTCACATTTCACTATGGTTCTTAAATACTCCTTGCACCAAAACTTAGGAGGATATCGCTCTAGATCAGCTTTAGCATATTTGTCTCTCATTTGTAAAGCTTTAAGTTGTTCATGAAATTGTCCTTCTGTTGTTGACTTAGCGCACATCCAGAAGTGGTTCTTTAAAACCTTTCTTTTATGGCGCTTACTCCAATTTGCATGAATATGTCTTGCACAATTACGATGCTCCGAATCAGGAGATAACTCTTGGATAACAGTAGTTAAACCCTGAATAAAAAGCAATAATGTTTTTCAATTTAATAATGTTGGTAGCAGCAAATTAAAGTCCATGGTAGCAACAAATGAACATATAGTTTATAGTTCAAAATTAAGCAATAGGGTTGACAGACTCATATAGCAGTGAATACAATTAAACATAGTTGATTATTACTATTATATGGAATTAGTTAGTGGCTACATAGTGACAGAAATAAATGTTAAGCAGTGTACAAAAATACCTTCTATTGGTCACTAATAATGGTCCAGGGGTAGGTGTTGGTGATTCCCAAATCATTTTTAAGCAGCTTGATAAACCATCTCCAAGAATCTGTGTTCTCAATCTCCACCACAGCTCATGCAATAGGGTACATCTGATTATTTGCATCTCTTCCCACTGCAGTTAAAATCTCTCCCTTAAGCAACCTTTTAAGAAAACACTCCTCTAGTCCAATTATCCTCCTACATCCATGCAAGAAACCCCTTCTCAAAGCCTCTAAACATACATAAATTCTCTGGAAAACACAAGGACTCTCAGGTATAATCATACTGGTTTGAGAAGAACTTTGCTGCCAGGGTTAGAGTTTATACACTCTTGTGCATAGTCCCTTATTCTTCTAAATTGATCCCCAAAATTTGCGTTAATTTTTTTTAGCACTAACCTAAGTGCTCTTGTAACTTTGCTAATACTTACATTGATTTTCAATTCAGACTCAATGTGGTTTTTCAACTGTACATGCCCAATGCAAGGATCAACTCTAATTTTGTCCTCATATTTTTCTTCTATCCATTTTTTACTCACCAAACGCAAACTAAACTTTTGATTACATTTATGTTCTGCCTTAAGAGTCTTTAGTTGAAAACATTCATATCTCTCATCCCATGAAGCAGTGCAATAAAATGGGTTGTCTCGACACCAGCACATTTATACATCACTCTCATAGGATTACTTTTATAATAGCATATATCCCTCTTAAATTGCACTGCGTAGTCAATCATTGCATTCTTAAACTATCGTGCATAGAGATAAAGCATCCCTAACTCTAACTCATGACATTCTGCAGTAGGATTGTATGATGGATGCTTACAGTTCCCCTTTACTTTACTAGGTTGTTGCGGCTGTAGTTGAGCTTCCTCCTCCTCTATATCAAATTGGTAACTAGGTGGATTATCGGAGTCATAGTATACACTCTCTACCTCCACATCCTCAAGTGTTGGTTCTTGAACATAATATTTCCTTCTAGCATCCACACCCCCATGTTGTTCTTTATATTGGTTTTTTTCATTATCACTAACCACAAGTTCTTCTTCATGTTCTTCATTTTGATTTTCTTCATCATCAGTAACCACAAATTCTCCTTCATATTCTTCTTCGTCATTATTCTCTTCTACCTCATCCACATTACCTTCATGTTCCGCTTCAACATTATTACCCTGTTGTTCTGGTTGGGTAACTATCCCTCATCTGGTTCAGGTAACTCTGGTACTGACTCTGAATATCGTACTACAAGAGCTTTATCAACCCCATGCTCAACAAAAATATCAGCCTTCTTGTATTTACGGGCTAAGGTAATCAACTCTAAGGTGCGAATGTCATTGAAGAAAGACCTAATCTTCTCTACCGGCTCCATACTTAACTTGTATGATAGACTTTCTATTTTTCCATATCGATTATGTGTAATGAACTTCATTAGGTGAGGCACACAAATCATATTAATGTCAATTGTTACTTCTTTAACATCTCCATTTATATACCTTAGTTTTGGATCTCACAAAATTACCCCTATGATGAATCTTAAATCAACAATGTCATACATTTTGGAAACACGAAAAAAATAAATAATCTTAATGTATGAAGCAAATACTTTAATCCAAAAAAAAAGGTAGTAATTTCTCAATGTAGTAGTACTTTGCGGACTTCTCAAAGGCAGTGAATTTTCATAGTAGTAATGTTTATATATATATATATATATATATATATATATATATATATATATATATATATATAGATTTAGGTTCTAGTGCAGTTAGAGTGCCAAGGTGCGGTTGTGCGGTTTAATTTGGGCCTTTCATCTTGCTTAAATCAACGTTCAGGATTATCAAAGTTTAAAAAAAAACGCGGTGGTAATTTTGTAATTTTTGCATCTAGGTCAAAATTAAGGTGAGCGGATCTGTGGTTAATGTGCGTGAGTTTTGTGCTTAATGTGCGTGTGTTTTGTGCTTAATGTGCGTGAGTTTTGTGTTTAATGTGCGTGGGGATGTGCTTAATGTGAATAGTTGTTAAAACTTAAAGTCTGTGAGTTAATACTTAAAGTGCGTGGGGTTTGTGCTTAATGTGTGTGGGTTTTGTACTTAATGTGCGTGAGTTTTGTACTTAATGTCAGTAGTTGTTGAAACTTTAAGTCTGTGAGTTAATATTTAAAGTGCGTGGGTTTTGTGCTTAATGTGCGTGAGATTGTGCTTAATGTGTGTGGGTTTTGTACTTAAAGTGCGTGAGTTTGTGATTAAGATCTAACACTTAAGGTGCACCAAGCCTCCGACTTGCCCTGGGCTTTGGCAAAACCCTCCAGCAAAGCTACTCCTAAGCAAGATAAAAGGAGAAATCCAAATTCAAAGCATAGAGTTGATGAGTTGAATGAGTCTCCTCCTCGCCTTCCTGGTATTCGCACACTGCTTCCATTACCTGGTGGGTCCAAATGATGATTTTTACAAGGTGAAATCCAGCTTTGGTGCTCAAGTTGGGCAGGAGGCAAAGAGACGACCCTTGGCAACCAGGTTAACAGCGAAGGCTATTTACTTCTTTGTTCCAGGCACGCGTTTTTTATTTTTTTATTTTTTTATTTTTTTATTTTTTATAATTTTCATTGATTTGAGTCGTTGATCTAAATTTGATCAACTGCTCAGATTTAACCGCACAACCGCACGGGAAGCTATACCCGCACCTGAACCCTTCCCTATATATATATATATATATATATATCTAAAAACATAATAAGTGTGAATGAAAGTTATACCCCTGATTTATGTCCGTTTTTTCCGTTAAGTTTTTTTTTTGTACATTATGCTATAAAGGTTGTACATTAAAATATTTTGGACAAACATACCCCTACCGTTATAACTTCTGTTATCTTTTCCACTATTGTTACCATGCACATGCATCCACCATATATTTTCTTATCTTCTTCATTAATAATAATATATACACGTTAAATATTTGAGTTATATGTTAATTATTACATAAATATAAATATCAAATTTATAAAAATGATTTACATTATTATTATTATTATTATTTAGAATAATTTAAATATCTAAAATCTAAATAAATTTAAAATTTTAATATAATGTATTAATATTGGGCAACTATTTTTTGCGCATCGCGCATAAAAAATACTAGTATATATATATATATATAGGGATGCACTCAGGTGCAAATAAGTGCCCAGGAAGGAATATGCGAACGAATTAGCGCGCGACACGTGTCCAGATCTAATAACTTAAATAAAAACGTGGTGGCATTTTCGTAAATAATTGAACATCGAAGTGCAAGTAAAATCACTTACAAGTTCACCTACTTTCACCTATAAGTGCATGTAATTTTGCCTTGTTAGCGTTCACTTCCCGCAAACATTCATGCACATGGGTGTGCTTATAACTATCGGTGCAACTATTTATAACTATTGGTGCAACTAGTTATAACTATAGGTGCACCTACTTTCACCTATAAGTGCATGTAATTTTGCCTTGTTAACATTCATCAATCTGAGTTCAGCGGGTAGTAATACCCCGGAAAACCACCCGCAAACATTCATGCACCTAGGTGCAACTACTTATAACTATATGTGCAACTACTTGGAACTATAAGTGCAACTACTTATAACTATAGGTGCACTTAGTATTGATGCTCAGTGTAAATTTTTACTTGCACCTATAATACATTTTACATGCACTTGTTAACACATTTTACTTACACTTCGATGTTCAATTATTTACGAAAATGCCACCACATGTTTTTTTAAAAAATCATTGTTTCTCATCCATTAGATCTGGACACGTAGACGGACAAAATCCATTCCTATTTCGCGTCTGGACGAAGCATTCGCACCTGAGTGCGATTATATATATATATATATATATATATATATGTGTGTGTGTGTGTGTGTGTGTGTGTGTGTGTGTGTGTGTGTGTATACATATACATATATACATATATATATATATATATATATATATATATATATATATATATATATATATACATATACATATACATATATATGTATACATATATATTTGTACACACACACGCGCACACACACACACACACACACACACACACACACACACACACACACACACACATATATATATATATATATATAAGTTCAAAACCGAGAGAAGTAGTCAACACAAGACTCAACACGCTCACAAGTAACACGGGAACACATCCCAAGACCACTAGCACAACACGACTCACAAAAGAGTCAAGGCACGATCTATCATCAATCAATAGACCGCAACCCGACAAGTACAACGCGAAAGAACAAGACACACACAACCGGCAACACATGCCAAGGCCACACCTGCCTTTGTGACTACACACGTCACAAGATAAGATCACACAACACTGGCTACAATAGCCCTTGCGACATCACCCATCACGAGTTGGTATGCCTGCCTTATGCCTTGTTCCGAGGAACACACAACACACTACACGGTCCAACGAAATACAGTGTTGAACACTTAGCACGATTCAAGACACCAAAGTCCTACATGGATACCTACCATATAGTTCTAGGCATACGAAACATCAAGAAGACACTCAAATAGTTCCACAAAAGAACATCGGGAAGTCAAAAGACCAAATACCGAGTCAATAGAATCAAGGGGAACAAATCCCCCATTCATCTCATCATGTTCCCCGCGGGTGGACCCACGGGTGGTGCCCCGCCCGTGGTTCCGCCCGCGGGAACATCTCCCACGAGGCCTTGTGTAACACCCCGTGTTACGGCCTTCAATCCCGGATTAATTATTTAATTAATCCCGTTAATAATAATTAAATATGATTTAATTTGGGCAGGTTTCCCTTTAAATAATTAATAAGGTCCACCATGAATCGTGGACCATTGTCTAAACTAGAGTTTTAAGCCTATTAGAAATAAAGAAAGTAAACCTTTTACTAGTCAGATTCTAATTAGGAATCCTAGACCTATTTATCTATTAGGAATTTAGGAAGTAGGCCTTTTACTATTCAGATTATGATTAGGATTCTCTTTAATTAATTAATATGGTCTACTATGGTCCATGGACCCTTACGCCTAAAACCAATCCCCTAGTCCTATAGGAAATAGAATTAACAAACCCATACCACTTAGATCCTAAGTAGGACTCTTAAATATATAAATAGGGTTATAGGAGGCATCTAGATCTTACACCACAATAATCTCTCACCACACAAGAAGTTCCAAGAATCCCCTTAGGAGAAATCAACAAAGAAGAAAGCTTAAAGAAAGACCCTTCATAGCTAAGGAAATTAATTAAGGCTAAGAGGTAACCCATGTCTCACTAAAACCTATTTTCTTCGCTATAATCTCCTTCCTTGGCCTCCTTCTATATGCTTGTGTCTTGATTAATTCCTCTATGCTAATTGTGGTATATTCTTGATGATGGATGAGATGATTTATGTGTGATCTTGATAATCTTGATGATCTTGATGTTGAAAAGGGGTTCTTGATATTGATGTGATGATACT